CCCTCAAGATGGCTTGAAGAGCCCCGCATTGATCTGATCTTGTTGTCTGAAGGATCTGAGCCTTCCTGCTTTTCGAGCTCCCGACAGTCCTTGACAACCCCAGGGAGACCCCCCTGACGACCCAAGAGGACCCCAAGAGGGCCACAATACGTCCCAAGGGTCACCCCAGACTGGTCAAGAGCGCAAGGCTGCTCAATGGGGGTGCCAAGATACCCCCCCCCTCCCGCGAGAGGGCCCCGACAAGGGGCGCCAAGAGAGGTCTTTGGGACATCCTGGCGGGTAGAGCTCTCAACCTGTGCCCAACAACCTCCTGCAGGCCCCGAGGTGCCCCCCAACGCCTTCAAATGTGCCCCCAGGGAATTCCAAGAGGCCCCCCAAGAAGCCCTCGAGCGGCCTCATAGGGCGCCGAGAGGCAAACCAAGAGATCCCAAGACGCATCCAGCACCCTCCTGACCGACAAAGCAGGCACGGTGGCAGGATGCCGATATTTCGAATGAGAGGAAGATAGAGAGAGAGAGAGAGAGAGAGAGAGAAACAAACAAACAGACAACAGTACGGCACATGGCTAACAAGGGAGACCAGCGGGATATATATATATATATAGCGAGAGAGAGAGAGAGAGAGAGAGAGAGAGAGAGAACGAGAGGCATGCACACATTCAAGGAGAGAGAGCGAGAGAGAGAGAGAGAACAAAAAAAGAGCAGAGAGAGAGAGGGAGAGATAACACACACATACACACACAACAAGGGCGATCATATAGAGAGAGGGATATATGCAGAGGGATAACGAGGGACACGGGGGAAAAGAGAGAGAGAGAGAAGGAGGAGCAGAGGAACATGACAAGGAGGGGGCAGGGCAATCGATGATTGAGGATGAGTAGGTGTGAGGAGGGGGAGGAGGAGGAGGAGGAGGAGGAGGAGGAGGAGGAGGAGAGGAGGAGGAGGAGGAGGAGGGGGAGGACGAGTGAAAGGAGTGAGGGTGGAGGGAAGGGATGAGACTGCCCGAGACACACCCAAGGCGGCGGAAAACCCCTGGCTTCTGAGTCACGAGTTGAATTGAGGGAACGAGTTGGTTCGAACATGAAGCACAGCCAGCGCAGGTTGGCGTCACCCCCAGGAGTCATCGTGGCGTGGATCCATCGTGGGGATGAGGAGGTGGAGGGGGCGAGAAGGAAGGGGAGGAGGAGGGGGAGGAGGAGGAGGAGGAGGAGGAGGGGGAGGAGGAGGATGAGGAGGAGGAGGAGGAGGAGGTGAGGGAGAGGGAGGAGGAGGAGGAGGAGGGGAGGAGGAGAAGGAGGAGAGAGGGAGGAGGAGGAGGAGGAGGAGGAGGAGGAGGAGGAGGAGGAGGAGGAGCAGGAGGAGGAGGAGGAGGAGGAGGAGGATAAGGAAACTCACGTCCGATAGTATGATGGCGCGCGCTGGTAGATGCGCATGTACACAGGTAGAGAGGTACTGCGGCGACCTCGATAGCGCGCCGCGCACGGGATGGCAGCATCGAGAGGCCCCCTTCCCCTTCTTCAATTAGCCTTCCCCTTCCTCGAGAAATAGGAAGAGGGGTTGAGACGGAGGAGGAGGAGGATGAGGATGGAGGACTCCTTACTGATCCTCCTCGGTCCGAAACCCTCCTGCTCCGCAGTCGTTCTTTATGCCTTGCGACCGATGTGATTTAGACGACCTTGCGAGGAGGACGATGTGGATCCGGAGGGTTGCACGCCCGTGCGAAGAGAGCAGCAATATTGGCAACACGTGTAGCAGACTTCGGAGATTTGGGAAACAAAGCAGGGGCGACAGCGTTGGAGGGTCAATAATGGGTTTGTGACGAACGAGGTAGAAGGATGAGGACCTGTCCTTCGGCAGGCCATCATACAGGAAACCTCGAATACATCCTACGGTATCGTGTCTCCACGTGTTGTCTTACAGTCGATGGGTCTTGCCAGTGTATGGGCCGGGTGGAAGGATGGGGAGGAGGAGGAGGAGAAGACGGAGGAGGAAGAGGAAGAGGACGACGAGAGCAGACGTGAGGGGAGGAGGGGAGACGAGAGACCAGGGGCGAGAAAATGGACTCATTGGGAGCCTCGCCCAGAGGCCACGAGGCTTCTCCCGCCGCCCGTGCCCCCGTTGCTCATCGCCCTGCTGCCCCTTCTCCGCATCCCTTCCCCCCCACCCCCTTGGCATCGCTCGGACGTGTGTGTTTTTTTGTTCCTCGGCGGGAACCATCGGGGACCATCCTGGACCATCGGGCAACATAAAAACACGCACGAAGCCGACACATGCACGGGAAGGGGACGTCCGAGCGATGGCGAGCCCCCTGTGCCTCAGCTTCTTGCCAGACGAGGGGGGGGAGGAGGAGATGCAGCGGACCCACGCCATGGGTGGAGCGCCCAGCGGTTTGCGCAAGAAGCGATGAAGAGGAGGCGGCGGCGAACAAGAAGGATGAGACGGCAGGAGGAGAGGGTGTGGCACGAGTTGGGGGAGCAGGTCACGGCGTGAACAACGGTTACAGTCAAGCCGTTGAAATATGAACCAGTTTGGGTTCGGAAGGGGCTCGATGTTCCTTAGATTCCTCCAGCGCTGTTCCTCTTGCCCTCCTGGGGCGCGGAGGCGCTTACGGGGCCAAGAAGGGGCTCCGTTCCTTAGTTAGCGTTCCTTCTTTCAGCGGCCCGACTGTACTGAACGGGAGGAAGATGAGAGGGGGGAAGGAGGGGGACGCGGGGGAAGCGGACGCAGTAGCTGGGGCGTGGGGAGGAGTACGTACACGTGGCGCGGCAGGGATCGGGGGGCGCATCGATCTCCGAGCATCAATGCGGTTGAGGCACACAGCCTTTCCACGCGCACGCCGTGGGAAGTTTGTTTAGATGTGTGGTGTCCGTCTCCAGTCCGCGCGTGAGCGTGACCGTCCTTGGCTCGAGGGGCGCTCGCCAGAGCAATTGTGTATCGCGCTCCATGTGCGTCCACTGAATTCCTCAGCTGCAAGCGATGGTTCGGTCTGCAGGAGCATGCCATTCGTTGTTTTTTTTGTTTGCACGTGTGTTGCTATGTCCGTGTGGTCGCTCCCCCAGAGTGTGCTTCCATCTGGCCCAAGCGTTTGTCTTCCTGCTTTCTAGGCGCGAGTTCCACTGGTCGTGTATAGTACGTCCTACTTGCCCGTCCTGCGTTCTTGGTCTCACTGCACCGCCGCGTCATCGGCATCATACATCACAGCTTGTGACGATAGGATGTGCCAGCAAACGATGATTGCAAAGGTATGTGAAGGCAGCTCTTTGTTGTTTTCCTAGGCCTTAGAGTGGCTCTGGTGGGGTCCTCTGGACACGGTGCATGCTTTTCGTAACGGTTACCACGAATCAAGAGGCTTGCGCCATTCTGCTGGCCCCCGGACGAAGTGGGGAGCCCATGGACATTCACGCGGTCAGATCGTGCGTTGTGTGCGGATCGAAGGAAGCACAGGAGAAGGAGAGGAAATTCGTGGCATGGATGTCTGGCAACGCGCAGCAGCGGAGCAATGGGGCGTCGCGTGCGCCAGCTGCCGGCGAGAGTTGGAGAAAGGCGCATTCGGCGGGGGGCATTTGGAGAAGATTGTGCAGGTTGGAGTGGGAGTGGAGAAGAAGCACGGGGAGCGAAACCAAGGGGGACATGGCATCGATAGCATGGACAGAGTGCCGTAGGGCCACGAAGGTTTGGTGACGCGTGTGTTTGTGGCGCAACGCGGCGTTCTAAAAGATTCCATACTTCACGAAGGTCCGGTGCCTATTTTTCACATACACCTACGACCACTCTTCGGGTGATAAGGAGGTTGTGGGGGGAGGAGAGGGGGGAACCAACATGTGACTCAATCGATCTCACTATCGATCTCACGCAACGGGACACCACGGGACACTTAAAGATCTCACTATCGATCTCACTAGACGGGACACCACGGGACACAGCGGGACACCGCGGGACACCTCTCGATCTCACTATCGCTCTCACTATCGATCTCACTATCGATCTCACTCAACGGGACACCATAGGACACCACAGGACACCACGGGACACCTCGGGACACCACATCGATCTCACTATCGATCTCATTATCGATCTCACTCAACGGGACACCACGCGGCACCACGGGACACTATGGGACACCTGTCGATCTCTTTATCGATCTCATTTTTTGGGACACCACGGGACACCTCGGGGCACCACATCGACCTCAGTATCGATCTCACTATCGATCTCATTCAACGGGACACCACGGGACACCTGTCGATCTCACAATCGATCTCACTATCGATCTCACTATCGATCTCACTCAACGGGACACCACGGGAGACAACGGGACATAGCGGGACAACGCGAGCCACCGCCAGACGGACAGACGGATGGGCGGGCGGGGGAGAATCATTTGTCTTGATTTCGCCCCAGCAACGGCGGACACCACGGGACACCACGGGACACCGCGGGACACCGCGAGCCACCGCCGGACGGGCGGAAGGGGGAGAATCATTTGTCTTGACTTCGCCCTAGCAACGGCGGCCACCGCTGGACGGGCGGAAGGGGGAGAATCGCATGTCTTGATTTCGCAGAAGCAGCGGCGGGTTAATTTCTCCCACGCGCCCACGCAGTTTCGCCTCGCCCGCACACACGACACGAACGAAACGAAACAATTTCCCGCTTGGGGGTCTCCGTTCCATTGTGATCTCACCCCCCAACCTCCGACATATGTATAACCTGTGGATATCGACATGTATGTGTATATTTGTACAGCTGCTTGCGAACATTATTGATTGCATCTCGATGTGTACACACACGCATGCGCATTTACATTCGCATTCGCTCGTCCTTATCTATGTGTATGTTTATACTGTCTATACATGTATATAGATGCACTGTATATATATATGATAGATTTAACATCGTGAAGCGAGGAGGGGAGCGGGCAGGCGGCCGCACCGCGTTCTGCGCGGCCGTACTGCTCAAGCTCCGAGGCCCCAGGGGCTTCCGAGCGGAGGGGGCGGGCCGTGGATGGACCCCGGTGGCCTCATCCTCCGCGAGGCGACGCGGGGGTTCGCCGCTGGCGCGGCGGCCTGGGGCGCCGCCTGGGGCTCGCAGTGCCCAGCGTGCCCCGCCCCGCCGCCGTGCCCGCACTGCACCTGCACCTGCGAGCCGCGGCTGGCGTGCCCAGGCGGCTCAGTGTCGGAGGCCCCGCGGCCCGAGCTGCTGGGTGCTGGCCTTGCGTGGCTGGCCAGCCTTGCCGCGGTGGGCGCCGCTGGCTGGGCCTCTGGCAGGCGGGCCGCTCCCGCGACATCGGGGGCCCCTGCGTCGGCGGACGCCCCCACGCGGCCGCCCACGGCGGCCTTGGAGGCGCCTGCCTCAGCAGCGCAGCTGGCGGCGGCCCAGGTGGCAGCTCTGCGGGCCTCGAGGCCCCAGCTGACCCGCTAGCATGGCGGCTGCGGCCGCTGCACGGCATCCGATCGCCGCCCTGGGCCTGCAGGAAGGGGGATTTCATCCTGGTCGAGTACGTTGGGTACGCCAACGTGTGGCACGAGCGCTTGGTGGTGCTCGCGCCCGACGGCTCGAGCCTGGCGTGCACCCTCACGCCGGACGACGACAGCTACGAGGAGGACCTCTTCGCCGTCGCTGAAGTGCGGCGCTGGCTGCCGTGCGAGGGCGGACGCATGGGAACGTACCCTCCAGCGGCTGCTGGGATGCACGTGCACGGCTTCAGGGGCGTCCCCGCGCCCGCGCGGGTCGCGCAGGTGCTGGCCGCGGGAGCTGCAAGGATGGGAGTCGCCCTCGGCGCTGAGGACACGGTGGTGCCCAACCTGGTCGGCGCGGCAGGCGGGGCCCGCCCTCGGCCTGGCGCCGCTGGCATCGCGCCGGCCGGAGGCGCAGCGGCAGCGGCGCTCGCCGCTGGTGGCGGGGGGCCGCCCGCTGGATTGCTGGTGGCCGCCCCCCCCGCGGCGCCCGCCGCCGGGTTCGGGGGGCCCGCCGTGGCGGCTGGGGTGGCTGGCCTGGCCGCCGCGCTCGCTGACGGCCCAGCGGCGCCCGGGGCAGGCGCCCCAGCGCTGGCAGGCCCCCCGCCGCCGCTGGCAGCGGCGCCCGCGGCTGCAGGGCCAGCTGCCGCCGAAGGCGGCCGTGGGGCCGCGGCGGCCGCGGCCGCGCCCGTGGATGCTCGCATCCAGCCCGTCACGTACGACTTGCAGGGCCAGCGGCACGCGGACTACCGCAGCGCGGTCATGGGCATGACCGAGGGTGCATTCCCCGATTGGCCAGTCAGGGGGCCGCGGACGGCGCTGTGGGTCCTCAAGTTCATGGAGGCTCACGGCGGCACTCCAACGGGCCGCCACTCGCGCTGGCTCTCGGAGACGCGCTTGCAGGGCACCGAGCCTGGCGTCGACGAGCACGAGCGGGCGTGCAGGACCCTCGAGCGCATGGTGATCTACGACCAGCTGAATGTTGCGAATCTCGCCTCGGGCGAGATGCTGGCCAGGTCGGTGCAGCTCCAGGAGGAGCGCTACAGGGGCCGCGTCGCCCCGGCAGCCGACTCAGGCAGCCTCGGCGCACACGTGCTGCTCGGTACTGACCAGCTGCGCGGGAACGTGTGCGTCGCGCCGATGCTGCAGGACCACATCAAGGACGAACTCACGAAGATGAATGCTTACAGGAAGGAGCAGCGCAAAGCCAGAGAGGAGCGCGACTTGGCCCGCAAGAAGAAGGGGACCAAGGGCGACAAGGGCTCTGGCAAGGATGACAAGTAGCCTCGGAGCGGGGAGTGGAGTTGGGCGCCCGCTCCCGCCATTCAGCCCATCGGGCCCTGACGCCTCGGCTGACGGGCCACCTCTGCCCTCGCGCCGTGCGGAGCCAGGAGGGCGCCAGCGGGACATCTTCCCCCTGCCTTTCTTGGGCCGCCCACGCAAGGGCTCCAGTTTTGTGCGCAGCCGCCGCGGGCACCGTCAATCTTCTGATGATGCTCCTTGGCAGGACTGGGCCACGGACGCCATCGACGTCTTGAACGCTGCGTGTGCCCCTGAGGCCCAGCCGTCAGCCCTCGGAGTTTCTGAAGGCCAGCGGGCGTCTCTCGCGCACATCCAGTCCACCTTCGCCTGCCTCGAGCCGCTGGCTGAGGGCGAGGGCTTTCCCGAAGGAGCGCTTTCGGATCTACTCTCTGGCTCCCCGCTGTACGCCGCGGGGGGGCCTCGCCGACCCTACTCGCGGGACCTGATCTCGTGGCCCGACGTCGGCGACGACCCCGTGCCTCTCACCAAGGTCGTTGCTGGCCCGGGCGCTCAGTGGCTTAGGGCTTGGAGCTCGAGCATGCTGCGTGGTCGCGAGGAGGCGGGCGCCCTCCTGCAGCAGGTATGCCCTCGCGGGCCGTATGTCGACCCCAACCTTGCCTTTTCTCCGGCGACGTTCGCCGATTTCCTTGCTGAGATGTTGAAGCGGAAGATGATTTGCTTCCAGGCGGAGGGCCGTCATATCAAGCCGATTGGAGTCTTCTGCGTGGCAAAGAAGAGCAACCGTCTGAGGCTGATCTTTGATACTCGCACTGCGAATGCGTACTTCACGGACCCCCCAGCCACCACGCTGCCGAGTGCTGCCGCCTTCTCGAACCTGGAGGCGCCAGGTGGCAGGGTGGTCGTCGCGGCAGGAGACATCGACAATGCCTTCTACCCGCTGCTGATGCCCGAGGGCTTGTGCCGCTACTTCAGGCTTCCGCCGATCGACAGGCGGCGCCTGGAGGCCCGCGGCACCACGGGACTCCCCGATGCCGCCAGGGTGCAGGCTTGCCTGGTCGCGCTGCCGATGGGCTTCTCCTGGGCGCTGCACCTCTGCCAGCTGGCGCTGCGGACCGCGGTCTCGCGGGCTGGCGTGCCGGGCCACCTCATCATCGAGGACGGCCTCCCCGGCGTCGTCGTGGAGCCGCAGGGCCAGGCCGCCGTCGCAGGGTACGTGGACAACTACCTGGCCGTCAGCAGCGACGAGTCGGAGGCCGATCGAGCCCTGGATCGCATCACCGCGGAGCTGGAGGGCGCTGGCGTGAGAGTCCACGAGCCTGAGCGGGCTTCGGACACCTGCAGCTTCTTGGGGATGGAGCTGCGGCAGGGCCGCTGGCTGGCTATCAAGGGGCGCTCCGTCTGGAGGTTGAAGCTCGCCATCGAGGAGCTGCTTAGGCGCGGTCGCGCCTCTGGGCATCTCGCGCGCGTGCTGGTTGGCCACCTGACCTGGGCCTCGATGGTGAGGCGCGAGGCTTTGGGGCTCCTCAACTCGACGTACGCCTTCATGATAGCGTCCGGCGCGGAGGTGCAGACGCTCTGGCCCTCCGTGCGGACTGAGCTGTGGCGCGCCCGCTGCCTGCTGCCGCTCCTTGTGGCGGACCGAACCGCGCCCTGGGCGACGAGGCTAGTCGCCAGTGACGCCAGCGAGGAGGGGCTGGGCGTTTGCCGACGGCAGGCCTCAGGCGACCTCATCGCCCGCTGCGGCCGTCTATGCGAGCGGTGGCGGTGCCGAGTGGAGGGTGGGGCGCGTGCCAGGGATAGAGCTCTTCTCTCTTCTGCTGCGACCCGCCCACCCCAGTCATCGTCTTTTGCCGCTGGCCCCTTCGAGCCTGCAGATAGGGAGGTCGTGTTTGGTCACAGTCAGTTGGATCTCGACTCGGCTTCGCCTGGCACGCTGGACCCCGGCAAGCTTCCCGAGGACCCCGACATGGAGCTCCACAACGATGCCCCCTTGATCTTGGATCTCGGGAATAAGCTCAAGGAGTTCGACGAGGTGCCCGCGGGTCTCTTGGATGCCAAGTCTTGGAGGGGCGTAGTCGCTACGAGGGTCCAGGCGGGCCAGAACATCTTGGGGTTGGAGGCCGACGCCTTGGTAGTTGCCTACAAGCACCTCCTGAGATCCTCAGCCTGCCGTGGTAGACGGGTTCTGGCACTGGTCGACAATATGCCGTTGTGTCTGGCTGTGGCGAAGGGGAGAGCGGCCTCAGCATACCTACAACTTCCATTGCTAAAAATTTGTATGATGTCACTTGCTACGGGAACGAGATTGCACTGCAGGTGGATTCCGTCAGAACGCAATCCTGCCGACGCTCTGTCTCGAGGGCGTCGCACCTGGTTTTCGGACTCCGACGCCCGCGCAGGGCTGCCTCCTGCGCATGGCGGCGCGGCGGCGCCCAGCGGCTGCGCGGCCGCGGGTCCTGCGCCGGCCCGCGCGGAGGCCCCCGCCATCGGCCTTGGAGGCCCGCGGCCGCCGCGCCGCCCTGGCGGGTCGCCTGGTGGCCGAGCGGCCGCCGATGGGGGAGCTCAGCGCCCTGGAGACCTTGGCGGTGCGGGCCAGCACGGAGGAGCAGTGCCGCAGGGTCCTGAGGGAGTTCGCGGCCTTCTGCTCCGAGAGCCGCCTGGACTGGAGGGACTTCGACCAGCTCGACCTGGTGGCCACCCGCTTCATGAACTACCAGTTCGAGCGCGGGGCCCCCGCGAGCCAGGGCTCCCTGCTGCTGGCGTCCCTGGCGCACTTCTTGCCAGGCCTCCAGGGCTCGTGGAGGGCTCATCTGCCGCGGGCTACGAGGAGCTCGATAGCCTGGGCGCGTCGCGTGCCCTCGATGACCAGGGTGCCGCTTCCATACTTCGCGGCAGCAGCGCTGGCTGGGCTGTTGGCCATCAGCGGGCGCCGACGCATGGCGATATGGATCCTGCTTTCGTTCAGCTGCTACCTGAGGCCGTTCGAGGCGCAGGGGCGCGCCCAGCGGCGCAGGCAGCGGCCTCGGCGGCTTGCTGGGCGCCGCTCCAGCATCCCACCAGCGGCGGCCGCCCAGGCAAGACCGGGTTGTACAACGAGAGTGTAGTGATAGATCTCGACCGGCAGTTGTGGCCGCTGCTCGCCGGCCTCAAGGCCGCCGTGGGCCTCGGCCAGAGCCTCTGGGATTTTACGCTGCCTGCACTGCGCGACCGCTTCAGGGAGTTCGCGGACTAGCTGCAGCTCCAGGCCCTCAACCCGACCCTCTACGCGCTGCGACACGGCGGGGCAAGCTGGGATTTGTTGGAGGGCCGGAGGACGGTGGAGCAGACCCAGAGGCACGGCCGGTGGGCCTCGACGGGCAGCATGAAGCGTTATGCCAAGGAGGCCTACTTGCAGGATGCCATGACCAAAGTTCCCGATTGGGTCTTCGTGTTCGGCCGCTTCGTGCACGCCAACCTGCTAGAGATTGTCGAGCTGGGGCCCGCCCTCGCGCAGCGGCCGCGCCTGCGGCAGCAGCTGCCCGCGCCCGTGCAGGCGCTGATCGGAGCCTCGCTGCCCTAGCTTCGCCAGCGCAAATCCAGCGTCACTTGAAGCGGCTGCTCGCTCGTGAACTGAAAGCCTCTCGCAAGCGTAGGCACTGAGTTTTCTTGGAACTTTTTGGTGGGACGGGGGTGGTCGCGAAGGCCCTCGAGGCCGAGGGCTTTGGGGCTCTCAGCCTAGACCTCCTACATGGCCCCTTTGAAGATCATCTAGACAAAACGTTTGAAAGGCTCGTCTCGGGCTGGATCAAGTGCGGTCTCATCTGGGGGCTTTTTCTGGGTACCCCGTGTACGACATGGACACGGGCCCTTCGCAGACCCCTCCGAGATGTGGCCTCGCCCTTGGGGTTGCCCGATCTCAACGAAAGCGAGTCCGCTAGAGTTCGAGTAGGGAATGCGACCCTCAATTTCTCGTGCCGCATCATCTCGTTGGCCAATGATCTCGGAGTGCCTGTTCCTCTGGAGAACCCCCAGACCTCCCTGATTTGGGCGGCGCCCAGACTTGCCTGTCTTGGTGCCCTGCCCGAGTCTGAATTTGTTGTCTGCCACCTCTGTCAGCACGGGGCCCGTTGGCGTAAAGCCACCAGGCTTCATGGGGTGGAACATTTCCAGTTTTGAGCCTCTCACTCGTAAATGCAATGGAAAGAATGGGATCTGCTCTCGCACAAAAGAGCACCACATTGAATTGTCGGGGACGGCGCCAGGCGGTCGCAAATGGACCAGCCTGGCTGCAGCGTACCCCCCGCCCTTCGCTCGTGCTGCCGCCGCCGTCCTCGCCCATTCCTCGGAGCAAAGGCATGGATTACGCCTCGGTGAGATACTGTGCCCGTAGGTTCTCTGTTTTCTCTTTTCAGTGGAAGCCCCATGGGGCTCCGGCCCAGCGGCCAATCTGCCCGTTTGGGAATCGGGATCTGTGCTGGCTGATGTCTCAGCGGGGCTCGGCACCGTGCCCCGAACTCGTGGCCTGTGGGAGCCTCTCGAGCGCGCACACAGGAAAGATGTATCAATACAGCTGACGCTGCTTGGCCGCCTAGAAGCGTCTGTACTTGCTGGTAGATTTAACATCGTGAAGCGAGGAGGGGAGCGGGCAGGCGGCCGCACCGCGTTCTGCGCGGCCGTACTGCTCAAGCTCCGACCCTCCCATCCCAACCCTTCTCTCTCGGTCCACTCTTGTATATTACCTGTTGTGGGATCTGTGCTGGCTGATGTCTCAGCGGGGCTCGGCACCGTGCCCCGAACTCGTGGCCTGTGGGAGCCTCTCGAGCGCGCACGCAGGAAAAATGTATCAATACAGCTGACGCTGCTTGGCCGCCTAGAAGCGTCTGTACTTGCTCCATATATATATATGTAGATGTACGGAAGAAAACATATGCGTATATATCTGTACGTATGTATACATACATGTGTACGTATCTGTATTTATACATGTTTATACACATTGCATACACGTATATATATATACATATGTGTGTAGAAAGTCTGAATATTCGCCCCTCGGCCGCCCCGAGGACACGCTGACAAATGGGGCCACCCACTAGGATACCAAGTTCGCCCCCAGGGTCAGTAGCCCCTGTTCTGCCCTTTTTGGGGGACCCGCTCAGTTTTTATATGGGTGAAGACGGCCGTAGACGGCCACAGGCCAGGGCCAAAAGACTTAAAACATCAACCCACATTTTCGGCAGACGGCACAAATTTGCTTCAGACGCTTCCACGACAGCCGAGTAAGCCACAAGAGGGTTCCACCAAGAGCCCAGAGCCCCCCCCCCCCAAAGAGGGTTCCGAGAGGCCCGAGTAATTGATTGTCCGAAGGTTTTGGAAGAGTGTTAGCGTTCTCGCCTGTTCGGGCTTTCGACGCTTCAACATGGCCCACGAGGCTTCCAAGCTCGCCTCAAGACGGCCCGAAACGGGCCCCCAAACAGCCCACGCGGGGGTCCATGCGGCCCAAGAGGCCCCTCAAACGGCTCCAGACGGACCCAAGAGGCCCCAAGAGGGGAGGTCGAAGTAACATATCGCGCTGTGTGCTCCAAGATGATTCCCGAGACCGTCAGTCGGCCCCCAAGTGTCTGTACATATACGCATATATGTATACACATGCAGACATACGTACATACCTACCTACTATATATATACATATATACATATGCACATACATGCATACATACATGTACCACACATGCAACCAAACGAGCAGCCACACACACACACACACGCCAGCTTACATACACACATACATACAGCACACATACATACATGCATACATGCATACAGTCATGCATACATACATACAGTCATGCATGCATGCGTACACCCATACCTGTATGCACACATACAAACATGCATGCATACATACATGTATGCATACACGTACGCGATTGGACACACGCATGCTTAAATGCGTACATACCTACACACCTACAATGATACATACATGCGTACATGTATACATACATACATGCGTGCATGTTTGCATGTATGCATACATACATACGCACAGACATGCACGCTCATATACACGTACGTATATGCACGTACGCATGTACATATATATATAGATATGTAAAACAGAGTTGCATGCATGCATACATCCATACATACGTGCATAGTCACATGCATACAAAGATGCATATCTACATGCATTCACATTCACCCGCGCCAGTCTACTCAGGTATATCTTATACACACATACTGGCGCAATCACGTACGTACACGCATACATACATACATGCATACACACATACGTACATGTACACATACACATACACATCTACATTCATGCATACATGCATACAGACAGACAGACATACATACATACGTAGTACACATCTACGCATGTATCTCCGTCTGGGGAGCCTGAGCCTGGAGTTCCCGAGGAGGGCCCAATACGGCTCCAGATGGCCCAGGAGGGCTCGACCAGCGACCCCAGACGGCCACGGTGGGCCCAAGATGGCCAGACATGTGCCCAAGATGGCCACTCGACGGCCCATCGGGCTCCCCAGATGGCCCAAGGGGGCTTGAAGACGACTCCGAAGAGACCCGGCGGGGGGCACAAATCATGGGTTGGCTTCAGGTCTCGGTGCAGTTTTCGTATACTCGGCCTCTGTGTCTCCACAGCGCCCGAGACGGCCGAAGAGGCCCCTTAGATCGCCCCAC